TGTGGTCTTGACATCCCTTATCACATTCTGAGGAAAGAAGCACTGTTGGAGGGAGGAAGGGGGGTTACATTTGTCCTTTCTTAAAAACTTTTGAAGTGAAAGGGTACTAGTATACCATTGTCGGATCCAAGTGGTCTGTGCAAGTTCTTGGAAGATTTTTCTGCAGTTCCTACACTTTCTTCAAATATTCATTATAATGTTCAAGAATTTCTTGCAAAGGAAACATACAATCAATAATAAGAGAAAATAAACCTGTAAAAAACAGTCATGTCTCGTATAACTAATCAAGATAAACCAACACAACAAATATTGTGACGCTTAGGAATGGTTTAGGATCAAGGAATTCAAGGAAACTAACCATACCGGAGGCTTGGTTCTAAGGTAGCAAGAAATCCAAAATCTTCTAATTTATAATACAATTTTAAAACTAATAAAAAAATCATTACCTGTAACATAACCACACCTCCAAACACATTCCTCAAGCTGTGCCCACCAGATACGTCAATGCTGCAATATTTAAAAGATTTATTGAACTTGAACAAAATGTTGAGACACAGCATAAAAAATCTGTAGTAAATTCCATAAAAGAAGAATGTTTTGTACGTCATACGAGTCAAGAAAAAATCCTGCATCGCTTAAGCATTTCACTTTAATAGTTTTGGGAAATAAGTCATGGAATTCATCACAATGCAGTATGGATGCTAGACCCCCAGCAGAGCATCCAGAAAGGAACGCCTGAAATAAGTTTTAAGTACTTATAATTTTGACTTTTAAATGCAGTACTAACCAATTGAACAAGCAAATAATTATATAAGGCCACAGAAATGCAATACATAAGACCTGGCTGGAATTTTGCATTCCCTTGGACATTAACTCTTCCATAGCAGTCGACCATATCCGTTGTCCTCGAAAGTTAAGTTGTGCTGCCTGAAATGTTATTAAAGCAATGAGGTTATAGAGAAATATCATGATCACTTACTTCCTTAACATTAATTATAGTAAATTCACTGCTTTGGTGATATATTAAGAGGAAGCAGTTATAAACCTAGAAGGTGGGCATTTTCATAAGCCAACTTATAATTAGTTTGGCAGTCATAGGTCAGATGCTAGACCTCCTTACATAACAGAGTAATGACACAATTTAGTTCGATGTCTACTATATCTCCGGCGGTGGTGGGCCTCTGTTTTTTGAACAATTCATTCCCACTGAAATTAGAAATAAGACACTTTCCTTCTTCAACAACACTTTAATTCTCTTCTCTACTAGTTGACCAACACTACAAGAACCAACAACATTTCAGTAATCAACTTGGATATCTAGCACAGCTCTCTATTAAAATTGTGCCCTTCCCCTTCATTTCTAGATATTCATCATTCCCTATCTTCACCCTTGACTTGAGTGACTTGTAAAAGGTCCTTGAACAACTCTTTGTCACCTGTCATGTGATTGGTACACTCACTGTCGTGTGATAGGAAACAAGTAGCCAGAAAGAGTTGATCTTCTCCTTCCTACTATTGAGTTTTTGCTTCCTTACAGAACCACTCAATGTGCCCCAAAGTGATGGATGATTTTGCTTCTTATAGTACTTACATGTTCTACCAACATCCTTTGCAGTGGATTCTGCTTCTCCCTGCTGCATTCTGGCTTTCAGTGCCCCTTCAATGCTTTCTTCTCCCAGATCTCCTTTAATTCTGTTGAATAAGGCGGAAGACATAGCCACATATAGGCAAGCTTGATCCTTTGCCTTCCTGGTGACCAAGTCTTGATCAGATGTATTGTTGGGTTATTATGAAGCGGAACAACATCAAATTCTTGTTCAATTGCTTCCTAATAATCAGAACCCTCTATATAGGTGTTAGGCCATCGGTTATTCATACTTATGTTAGAAAGGGCAAGAAGGGAATATGAGAGTTAGTCTGTTAGTGGGAGGGGTGTTTTGGTATTTTCCCAAACCGTTAGTAGGAGTACGGATGGGGGGAGAATAGAATGTATGTAAAGGGAAGACCTCGAGATTAGGGAGGCAGTTTTTGAGTATTTTGTGCAAGTGCAGCAGAGCTATAGGGAGAGACCCAGCCCTCTCGAATTGGCTGGTTTTGTAAAGCCTAAGAGCTGTTGTTTCCTTTCGAAGATCAAAAGCTTAGTGAGGAAGATACCTCACTGTAGGCTTGCATTCTGATAGCCCATACTTGATAGTTTCACCATCAAACACAAGTATAGCCAATAAAAGAGACTGTTTGATCCTAACTCCATCTCATACAGCTCTCACATGTGTATCACTCGACTTCTCTGAAGGATATTTCACTAATTCACACTCACGAATCCCTTAAGAATTTAGAGCTCTGATACTTAAATTTCATTCAATAACTGCCCATATAAATACAAACTCTAACACCAAAAATAGACAACTAATTCCACAAAGTAGATCTACAAAAAAAAAAAGGCAACTTAAATTGACTTGACTAAAAATAACATCACAACTTCCCTAGAAACTAGGATTTGGACCAGACCAATTCAAACTTGCAGCTTGCATTAACTAACAATTTTCTCTATTACTATACCTGTTCAGATTATTAGGTTTTCTCCCCCACTAATCAATTGTTGTTCCTACTCCCTGTAAAAAAGAGAAAATGGGGATATGAAAAATGCTGAAGAAAGTTCTTCGAGATCTTCGTCTTCTTTGTCTTCCTCTATGATTGTCCTTCGCTGTGTCTACACAATTTTTCTTTGGGGAAAGATACTTTCATCAATTTTGTCTTGTCTTGTTTTTTCCCCTCTCTTCTGTTATTTTTTGATTGAGTTATTCCTAGAAGCGGCACTACTCTTATTCACACTTGATTCAGTGGCCACTCCTTTGAAGCTGAAGCAAAATCTCTTTCGACAAATTTCATAAGGTATTTTATTTAGATTTTCTGGCATGAAAGAAACAGCAGAATTTACAAATTTCATAAGATATTTTCTTTAGATTTTCTGGTATGAGAGAACCAGCAGAATTTTATAGGTAGAAGAGAGATCATTTCCTGTTTTATGACAGCATATTACTTTTGTGGCTTTGTCTTCGTGCTAATTGCCCAAGCATTTTATATAACTATAATTTATCTTCTATTTTGATAATTGGAAGGTTTTTTTTTATTAATTTCTGTAGCTCGAGTTGAGGCTACCTTCTTCCCTTTCTTTTGTATATTTCATATTTTCAATGAAACAATTCCTTATCCAAAATACAAGAGATATGATTTCAGTTCTTAAATATACCTCATTCTGACTGTCTCCGCTAAAAGATGCACCATCGCAATAACGTAGCTTGACTTTGTTCCAATTGAAGAAATCTGCAAGCATGCTAGCCCATTACATATTAATATGAGCATGGGCACATCTGTACCACAAAAATTAAATGCAGAAAAACATGGGTGGCAGGGGGGGACCAGGGTTTTCCTCGGCCTTGTTGCTCAATATTCCTGTGAAGGGTAATTGTTTTTCCATATAATTGGATGAACCACGGCGAGTGGTTTTGCGAAAAACACAATTACGAATCGTATTACACCAGCCACCTCCCTGCAAGAAGACAATGTGTCATGAAACACGAAGACAAATTTTCTGTTCAAAGTCTTATGAAAGAAGAAAGGAAGTCTGTGACTTTGCCGTTTGGTTATCATTTCAATCACTGCTTAAAGAAAGAAAGAAAAATGATAAAAGATTATGCATATATATACATATAAATTCTTCAGAAACTCATGTATTGATTTACGTACTACTCATTAT